CTGGAATGGACCCAGGCTGGCCCCAGGCGGTGATTTCGGCAGCTAAATCCTTCTGATAAGATCAGGATGCACCCGCTTTAAATTTTAACCCAGATCAGATAAGTCGCTCTATTTAAGAGTGCAATAAGCTTCTAAAATATATTCTCTTAGCCAAAGTTTGGAAAAACTATTTTTCTAGACTATAATTTCTACTGGCTGTGCTGGCTGGGGAGAGGGGTTCTGGGAGCTGTTGAAAGGTCAAACAAGGGCTGAATCTACACTGCAGGATTGATGTAGTTTGACACTGCTTTAACTGCCATGACTCAAAGTTATGATACAGTTGACCCTCCATATCCATGGATTCTTTATTCATGGATTCAAGCATCCATGGCTTGAAATAATTCCAAAAATATAGAAGTTCCAAAAAGCTAACCCTGATACGGAACACCATTTTACTATGCCATTGCATTTAATGGGACTTGAGCATCCATAGATTTTGGTATCCACGGGAGTCTTGGAACCAAACCCCAGCAGGTACTGTATTCTAGGATTTGTAGTTTTGTAAAAGTGTTCCTGTACCTAGGACCAAACATTGATCAGAATGGAGACTGCAGCCAAGAAATCAGAAGAAGAGTAGGGAAAGGCAGCTATGAAAGAACTAGACAAGATCCTAAAGAGTAAAGATATACAACTGAGCACTAAAATTAGAATTGTCCAAGCCAGGGGTAGGCAACCTTTTTGAGCCGGGGGCCGGGTTGCTGTCCCTCAGACAATTGGGGGGCCGAAGGACCAAAAATAAATATATAAATAAAAATTTAAAAAAATTTTAAACATTAAAAAATGCATGCACTCTCTCAGCCCCAGAAAAGCCATGGCAAAACCCCTGTGGAGATTTTGCCAAGAAAACCCCAAGAACAAGTAATAACAACAATAATCAATATCATCATGGCGGGCAGTGGGGGGCGGCGGCAGGACCAGCCTGGGGCCAGTCCAAAGGCCTCGGGGGGCCGCATCTGGCCCCTGGGCCTTAGGTTGCCTTTCCCTGGTCCAAGCCATTGTATTCCCCATCATCATGTAGGGATGCAAAAGCTGACAAGAAGACTATCAACTTATTTGTGATGCAGTGCTGGAGAAGAGTGCTGAGGATACCTGTCTAGAACTGATTTTTTGGCAGGTAGATTTTTTTAAAAAATCACTCTACAAAACTGAACCATTCGTATTTATAAAGGCTAAAGTAAAACAAGTGACTTTTCTAGAGACAGCAGTTTCATACAAGCCCCACTGAACATGCTAGGACTTCTATACTTTTATGATTTTTTTTTAATTACACAAGGTCTCAAGATTTATTCTGCTTGTTAATCAAAAAACTTGAATACTTGAACAATGTAAACCCAGAAACCTCTGTATGAATATAAGCACCTTTTACAGTGTTAATAAATTATAATGTACAGATAAGGAATCAGGATACAATGTATAGATGCAAAGGGATCTTGTAAACATCTTTGAGACTAACTAAAAGAAAAAAAAACTGGTAGATTTGGGTCTATGAAAGCTCATGCTATGAGTTTCTTTCTTTCATTTAGTCTCAAACACTTTAAATAAAAAATATATATAATGTTACATTTCACCTTTTGATTCATCTAAAGGTGCTAAAAGATCCCTTTGCATACTGATTTTCCAGACCAACACGGTTATGTCTTTGCATGTTGAGCATTATGTGTAAATAATTTATATTCATGTAGAGCTCAACAATCTATGTACAAATAAATTGCACTTGTGTTGAATGTAACCTGTGTAAGCATCCCTATTAAGAATAGTGAATAAGCTATTGTAAGCTATTCTTACATTAGTGCAGAGTATTTGGAAGTAGGTTGGTTATGAATGAACACACATATGTACCCTGAAAAAGAGATTTAGCTATCAGCAACTACAATTGTTTACATTTGTGTACTTTCCTTGGAAGATGTGGGTATGGAGACGGAGGAGATTATCACACTAGGGCCAATTCCGCAACAATTGTGCTATTAGAAGATAACAGAAGCATAGCGCTATAGCGATCTATACTTACGCACAGGCGCACAATCGCACTATAACAATGAAATAAAAATGAAACAAAACCTCAGTCACGTTCTGCATAGAAAATAGATGGCATTGCTCTAGCGTTAGTATGTCGTCATTAGATGTTTCGCACAGGCATCATTATTGGACTACTGCACACATCTGAAAAATGTGGTTCCACACCAAACAGAACAAAATAAAATTAATAACATGATATATATCCAGTTCAAATAAGACAGTGCCCTATGCCTCAAAATAAGACCGAAATCTACTCCAAAAACAATCCTAGCAGCTAGAGTGAATTGCTTGTGCCAAAGTGCAGTCTGGAAAAAGTTCCCTGATAGTGCAAATGCATCATTATTAGCTTCTGCACATTCGCAATAGTGCAAATTAAACGTTATTGGCAAACCATTCACACAGTTTCCTTGTTAATAAAAAGTTACAGGACAATTCCAGGTTATTCATGGGAGAACTACTGGATGAATGCGATGTCATGTGAAAATCTTTGCGCAATCATGCTATAATGATGGGAGCATTCAATTTTTCTCCTGTTTTATAACCCCGTGTGATAATCTCGAGGCCTGAATCCTATTGTTGGCCAATTAGATTAGACCCACTGAAGCACTGAGATTTACCTGTGTGTTGAATCACCATTCAGTAATAAAATGGACTTACTCTGGTTGAGACTAACCAACACATTCAGGGCTAAGAGTCTAGCTGCACAGCAAAGTTATAGCAGTTTGGTACAGTTTTAATTCTTGTGGCTCCGCTGTACAGGATCCTGGGATTTGCAATTTGGTGAGATATACACAGTGATTCTCAAAATAGTAGTCTGTGGATTGATGCTGGTTGGTGAGCCACTGGTTGCATGCCAGACCATAGCCAGTTTCCAGGATATGATAATAATATGGTACAGACTTTGTACAAGTGCTTGGCACACACTGGAGAGAGAGAAAAAGGCCAATCTGCCACATTAGATACCTTGACAAGCTCTGTGCTAGCCAGCTTTAGTCCATTGCCCTGAACGAGATTTCTAAGGACCTCTCCAAACCATAAATCCCAGGATTCCACAGGATGGAGACTCATGGTAATTGCAGTGGTAATTAAACTACTAGAATGATGTAGTGTATACCTATTCTAAATTTACCATTACATCCCTCCCTAGGATAGCCTTTTATACATCACCAAGTGGAACTAACCATAGGTTGTGGGGTGAACAGGCAGGTAAAAGTGAGGTCATACAATTTTGGAAATATCTTGTTGCAAATGGAGAGACTATGGGGGGTTGCAGACTGCCAGAAATAGTGCAAATTGAGTCCACTTTTAGGGTTAGGGTTAGTGCTAGGGAGTCATGGAAATTGTTTTTTTTCTGAGACATTGAGCCTTCTCTATCAGAGGACTCTGGTGCCACAATAAACTACAGTTCCCATGATTCCCTATCCCTAACCCTAACCCTAAAAGTGGACTGAATTTGCACTATTTCTGTCAGTCTGCAACACTTACTAGTCAAAATGAGAGTTTCACTTCTGGGTCATATGATCATTTGACAATGCAAAATTTTTGCCATGCTCTGAAAAAAATGACTTTAAAAGAGACTAACTAGGTTCCTAAGTAATTTTCACGCATTCTTTGCGCCACACAGGGTGTGTACTACAATTTATATTGTAGGCTGAAACTTTGGTACACGTAAAGGAAAGGGTACTTGAGGAAACGCAGAGAAAACCATGGCTTCTGTGACTGCATGGTAAATGAGCATAATAATAATAATAATATATTATACGAGCGATCTCTATCATTTTAGTTCACTTTTAAATTTTAGTTTTGCAATTGAAAGAATAAACCTTTATCCCTTGAGTAAAATGTGTATGCATAACAGGGCCTCCCCCCCCCCCGCACTACTTTCAAACAACCCAAGCATGCATGTGGAATATGTGCCCAGAAGCCTTTCTGAATCACACACTTTTTCTCAACAAGGTAGTTACAAATATCAGTGTTAAGTGCAGAGTGAGGCCAGTTAATTAATCATGATGGCTGGGGAAGCTGTAAGAAGAACCATGGATGTCTGCTGTATGAAACAAAGCCCTGAACATAACCAACTATGACACATTACTCAGACTTAATGCAGTATTTGTTTGCAAGGGACATGCCCAAACATGACCAAAGTTACATCAGCATATTCCTGCTGTGTCCCTTTTAGGCACAACTACACTGTACTGGATGCACTCAACATTATGTAGCAGCAAGCTCATCTTTAAGGACTGAGGTCTAACATCAATTTAATATATTCACAGGGCATTGCATTCAATTAAAAACTGGCGCTACAGAGCTGATGGGAGCTACACTCTGACCTGTGTGCTATGGCATGAGAATGACCACTCTGGCCCCTTCCACTGGCCAGTGAAGGAGCTGTGGTTGCAGTGCTTTCCTCTTCCCTCTTTCATTTCTTTTTCCTTTCGTATCTTATCGATTAATAGGCTGTGAGCTTGCAGCTAGGAACAGTCTTATTTTTAAAGATTTGTACTGCACTTTTAAACTGGTGGCCAGGAGTTGGCTGGGTAAAGTGTGACCTGCAAGCCATGTGCAGTCCCCTCACCCTGCTGCAGGATTCATCAATATTTTTTAATTTTTTAAATACAACCCTCTATGTGTGTGTGTGTGTTAAAAACCAGCATTGTAGTTTGTTACCATAATCCAGCAGCAAACTGAAAAATGTGATACCATCCGTGACAAAAATAATATATGGACTATACTCAATGGGATAGTCAATATCATAGACAATATCATAGTCACTTTCATTCTTTTTAGTTCAACACCAGCTGTTGTGTGCTTTCAAGTAATTTCCAATTTGTTTTGACCCTAAGGCAAACCTATCATTGGATTTTCTTGGCAAATTTGTTCAGAAAGGGTTTGCCTTTGCCTTCCTCTCAGGCTGAGTTGCCCAAGGTCACCCAGTGGGCTTCCATGGCCAACTGGAGATTTGAACCCTGGTCTCTAGAGTTGTAGTCCAACATTCAAACCAATACACCATGCTGGCTCTCTCAGTATCAATAGCCAATAGCATTTTAATTAAGATCATTATAAGTACAATTAAGGTTTATTTAGAGAGCCAGCATGGTGTAGTGGTTTGAGCATTGGACTATGCCTCTGGAGACCAGGGTTTGAATCCCCGCTTGGCCATGGAAACACTGGATGACCTTGGGCAAGTAACACTCTCTCAGCCTCAGAGGAAGGCACAGACAACCCCCTCTGAACAGATCTTGCCAAGAACCCCCTGTGATAAGATTCACCTTAGGGTTCTTATATCAGAAATGACTTGAAGGTACACGACAACATTAAGGTTCATTTATATACAAATATAAAATTAATAATAATTAGTCAAGTACAAGTGGGTGACATTTTTGTATTTAATTTGTTTTTAAATAAATTTGCCGGTAATTAATTTTTAAATAATTTCAGCTAGTTTACTTCTAGTTTACATTCACACGGCTATTTTTTTAAATTTTATTTCAACTTTTAAAAACTCCAACCAAGAAAAAAAAAAAGTGGGGCCTTCAAACTTCAAAAGTGTCCCTCAACTCCATGGCAGGTTTATATATATATATATATATATATATATATATATATGCAAATAACAACAACACTATTCTGACTATATATAACACAGGTGCCCACCAATATAATTTCCAAGTTGTTTTGCCCACCTCTCCTTTCCTACTCACTGCTGATCATCCCAGAGCCCTGACAATACAATTTATCAAGTCTCACAGCCAAATTGCACGCATGTGTCCTCAACACTTGTTGTTGCTGTTGCTGATGCGACTGCATGCCTTCGAGTTATTTTCCAACTTGTGACAGCCCTGACATATCATGCGGTTTCCTCAGCAAGATTTTGTTGAGTTCCCCCCCCCGGTGCCTTCCTCTGAGGCTGAGAGAGTGTGACTTGGCTAAGGTCACCCAGTGGGATTCCATGGCCGAGCCTTGATCTCCCAGAGTGCTAGCCAAAAACTCAAAACCACTACACCACACTAGCACAGGAACCGCTGCGAAAAACGTCTCAGCAACCAATCCAAAATCAGAGCCAAGGTAGGGTACCAAATGGTGGGCTCCTAATCTTACCAATCAAAATTTAATCTTTCCCTCCTCAAAGGATTTACAGTCAGCCCTCCACATTTGCGGGCTTTGACTTTTGCGGACTTGAATATTACTATGTCCTCTCTAGGAATCCCTCCGTTCTCCAGTGAGACTCTTCTGGAATCTGACCATAGAGTCATGCTGGAGGACCTAGAGATTCCTAGAGAGAAGACTTCTCTAGGCACTTGTAGGTCCTCCAGCACAATTCTATGGCCAAATTCCCACAGATGTTGACCTTAGAGTTGCGCCAGAGATTCCTAGAGAGGTGTTCTCTCAAGTTGAGAAAGCCAGTGGTTTCTTATTTGCACTTTCACGGGGGTCCTGAGCCCCTAACCCAGGGGTAGGCAACCTTCCCCCTTTAAGGGCCGAGGGACTTCAGCTCCCAGAAGCCTCAGCCATGTTGGCCTATAATAGTCCCATGTTGGCCAATAGCTCCTGGGATTCTGGGAGCTGAAGTCCCTCGGCCCTTAAAGGGGAAAGGTTGCCTACCCCTGCCCTAACCCCATTCCCAGCAAATGTGAAGGGCCCACTGTACTGTGGTAAGAGTAATATAAAAGATGGAAGAAATAGTGGGGAAACACAGAAAGGTGACCAATGGGGAACACCGCTTTATAACTGCCCTGGCTCAGTGCTAGGGAATCCTGGGAACTGTAGTTTATTCTGGCACCAGAGCTCTCTGACAGAGAAAGCTAATTGTCTCACAAAACTACAGTACCCAGAATTCCCTAGCAATGAGCCAGGGCAGTTAAAGCAGCCTCAGACTAGATTATTTCTGCAGTGTGTTTTGGACCATTCCTTAGAAGGCTGCTGTGAAGATACGTTTTTAGTTTGCTTCTTTTTTATGATTGGGAGGGGGGTTGGGGTAGGTAGGGGATTATTTAGAAATGTGGATCTTAATTGTATATTTGTACTTTATTGTTATTCTTATTTGTTGTAACCCGCCTTGAACCACGGGGAGAAGTGAGCTATAAATTATTATTATTATTATTATTATTATTATTATTATTATTATTATTATTAGGGCTGCATGCATGGGACAATGGCCTTACACGCTGCTTTAAGCTTCTTGTAGAAAAGATGGGATATACAGTACATGTAATTAATAGAGCCAATGTAGCAAAGTAGTTTGTGCGCTGGTTTGCAACTCTGGAGACCAGGGTTCGATTCCCAGCACAGCCATGTAAAACCCACTGGGTGACCTTGGGCAAGTCACACTCTCTCAGCCTCAGGGGAAGGCAATGGCAAACCTCCTCTGAACAAACCTTGCCAAGAAAACCCCACGATCGGGTGGGTCGGGTCACCTTCTACGTCAGAAACTACTTGAAGGCACACAACACACACAATAAAGAAATAGTCGCCAGGAAGCCATCCTCTCACCTGCTGCGTACTTTTTATCAAAGCCAATTCACACAGTAGCTAATTGTCTGGTTTGGACCTGAGTTTTAATGATTCATGGCTATTTATTTGCAGTCCTAGGGAGAGAACAGGAGAGGCCTGAATGAACTGCCTAAACAGTATGCAAAGGGATCTTGGAGCACCTTGGAGATTAACTGAGCAAGAGACGCTGGACAATATCACACTACACTGTTGTGTGCTCTGGCTGCCTCCTGTGGAATCCTGGGATTTGCAGTTGAGGGAGGGAGCATTAGAATTCTCTGCCAGAGAGCTCTTGGTTCTCACTGAACTACAAGCCCCAGAATTCCACAGGAATTCTCCTTAGTCAGGCTCAAAATGGAGGACATTCTGAAACCCCTCTGGGACAGGAGTTTAATCAGCATGTCTTACATTCTGAGCATGATTGAGAGAGGCCTGGATTTACATTTCTATGAGCGTTATTAGCTTTTTATTGGGCCATGC